AATTTAATATCGACTACAGATTACAAATCAAATATAAATATATAAAGATAAATATAACGATTATCTAATCCAGCAAGGGCCTATATTTCTATGTTCAAAAACACATGCGAATACAAACAATAACTATAAATACCCGTACATGTATATTTTTTAGATATTTTATATCTATCTATATATATATATATATATAATTTAACAAGAATTAAAAAAATGATACGATTTGAGCAGCGCATCTCAACACATCAATTTTATTTGGCTGCTTTAACCGTTTTATTAAATCGAGGTGATTCACCAATTCAAACTCAAAACAACCTAAAATATGATCGTATGTGAGTCATTCTTTGGACATCTTCAGTACCTGGTAAAGGTATCTCACCGCTATATATATATATATATATATATATATATATATATATATATATATATATATATATATATATTGTCATCTACAAACAGACTGTTTCGCTGTATCACAGCTCTTCAGTATGGATAGACGTCCGGTCGCCTCTAGCTAGGATCGAAACCCGACTGACGCCTATTCAGTCGGGAGTCTACCACTAAGCCGTTCGCACAAGGGAGTTCCACAGGCGATAGGTGTGTGATATGATACTAGTGGAGTAGAAGAGACGGCTACATTTAACAGTTTCAACAGTGAAAGGGTGAGAGCGGGATGCCAACCTCGTAGGTCGCTTGAATTCATGAAGTCTGGGAACCAACGCAAGCAGCTCATCGGAGCAATTACCTTGAAAGTATATATTTTCATTTGTCATGGTCATATTTTACCAGTTATTTGTTTTTAGTTTTCCACTTTTATGTAGTGTAGTGATAATTTCTTTTCGTATCTGCATTGTTTTCCGAGACCTTGCTGTCGGATGTAGTTTATCGTCATACCAAAAACGGGGTGACCACCTTGTAGAAACGTCTTCTAAATACGAAAACCTACTATGAATATATTTTATACCAAATAAATAGTTTTATTACTTTACATTAAAACATTTCAAGTTAACATAGCGATTATTACAACGTGACTGTTTGCAAATATTTTCTTTTCCTTCAAGTATCGACGCGATGCAGAAATTCCGCAAGAAAGCACAATTTAAATTTTAGAGATGCGTTTTCTTTTTAAAAACAAATGAATCAAAATGTATATTTTATTATTTTTTTTAATTTTTAATACCAACAACAGAAACAAATATCGTCATTGCAAAAGGAAATGTGACAATAATTGTTAAAACAGAAAAGCTGAAAATGTTAAATAAATGATAAGATTACGACGTTAAGTTTTCAAAATTCCCCAGAGAATCGAGCCAAAAACCTTAATCTCGCATCTCGTCCACGTCTTGTAAGCGGTCATTGCCAGGAAACTACTGGGAGACTTGCTACCACCAACGGCTTATTATTTTCAGGGTTGTCACTGATGCATCTCATTCTCGGTATGTTGTGCCAGCACACCCATCCAACGTTTAATCCGTCCCATCATTCCTAGAGATATTTTTTTATATGTAAGTCACCTTTGCTGAATCTGTTATCAGATTACGACACATTAATGCTGAGAAAAAAGCAAAAAAGTTGAAATCAATTGGACAGGAAAAATCACGCTGTTTGTTTTGCAAGATGCATATTTTAATTCTAAGTATAATTTTATTTACAACATGGTTTTAATTTTAACTTTTTGATGCCAAATTTTCGCATTAAATATACCCTAAAAACTATCTCAATTATTTACAATGTTCGGAGAGTTTCCTCAAATTTACTGTCAAATCCACGACGTTCCCGTTGTTCTCCCCTTTGGTCTTCTTCAGGTGACATTTGTTGAATGAGTAAAGCAGCCTAAAAAACAATGTAAGTAGTATAAATATTTACAATAGTTTAGAAACAAATATTAACATATACTCATTGTCATATTCTATCGCTTTTCTAAATCGTGCCCCATACCATTTTGGGATATAACTGAGCTTCTTGTTTTTTCGTCTTCTCCATTCAATCATATTAAATAATTTATTCGGTGTTTCATCTGCTTCCCTTTCTCCAGTATGTCTTCCGTGTGTTCAATTCTCCATGTCATATTTTTTTCATTGTGTTTCCAAGCGATACCTGCTGTCTCTTTCTGATTGAAATTATCCGATTTTTTGTAGACCCTATTTACTTACACGTTATGGCCATGATATTCTTAAACTTTTTCGATAGAACTACCTCTCTGTCTCTTCGAGGATATTCACTTGTGTGTCGATTGTCCATCATTCAGTACAAATGTTATGTTAGATATTAAGTAGCAGTACCCTCTTTTTGTTTCTAAGGAGATTCTACCGATGTTTTAAAACATTGCTAAAATAAGAAGATAAATTTCGCTATATATAAGTGATTTCGAATGTATATTTCATTGTTTTAACTGGCTGTTAAAATTCCACAGAAATTGTTGCTTAATTTTTAGGTCCTCGATATATAGTTCATATAATGTAGTTCATATATTTTTAGGTCCTCGAATATGTAGTTCATATATTGTAGTTCATATATTGTATTAGATATTGTCCATCATTCAGTACAATATGTTATATTAGATATTAAGTAGCAGTACCCTCTTCTTTTTGTTTCTAAGGAGATTCTACCGATGTTTTAAAACATTGCTTAGATTAGAAGATAAATTCTAAAATCGAAGTGATTTCTAATGTATATGTCATTGTTTTAAACGGCTGTTAAAACTCTGCAGAAATTGTTGCTTAATTTTTAGGTCCTCGATATGTAGTTCATACATTGTGATATCTCATGTGCTGACAATCATGAATTCTGACATTTTAAACTTAACTGTTAGTCTTTTATTGTCATATTACATGAGGATATATTATATAACCGGTGTTTACTAATAAAGTTCGCCCTGTTATTATGATCGCGATTACTGAGTTAAATCTTTAGCAGTACACAAAATTTGGAATCAGGTCACAGACAAATACCCAAAATCTAGATGATCAGAGTTTGGCATTACCACAACAATTCAATCGGTGGAAACATTAGCTTGTATCATTCAATTCCACCAAAACCAATCTAGTATCGTTTCAGAAATACTGGGTAGACCGTAATCTTTCTCCAGTCCTGATAATGGGTTTTACTCTCAAAAAGGTTATCTGCCGACTAATGCTCACTGCAGGCCTCAAGTAGAATTCGTATATAGGAACCATCGCTAAAGTTGTTGGAAAAATAGTTGGCCTGCAGCAGAACGTACATTTTTTTTCAGATCAGACAGAAATAGATCATCGTTAGCATCGGGATGCAGCTTCGCTATACTTACCTACCAGCCTTGATAGACGTCAGACGCGTTTATGCGGCCTTGTGGGTGATTAACTATTTTCAACCGTTGAAATTCTCTTCTGAGAGAGACGACTTTGCTACCCTGTCGGTATTTTATCGCTACTTTCATGGCAAATGATAAGTCGAAGTACATTCTTTAGTTCCGCCAGTTCAGACCTTCACATCTTGGATGCGCCATGGCACTAACACTGTGTCGAGGTATCCTCACTCTCTTCGTATTCCATTAGTAAGGAGTAAGTTCCACTCAGAGAATTTCTTCCCCAAAACTGTTACTTTGTAGAATAGACACCAGAGAGGGGTCTATCCCGATAACTAAAATCTTAACTTCTTCTAGTCTAGAGTCAACCCTAATTTTTTTCTACATATTGCTATAATATACAGTACTTACTTCCGCCATTTAAACACTTACAAGAAGCTAATTCAATAAATTCCTAAACTTCTAAGTCTTTTATTAGTTAAACAACAGGAGGAAACATTTATTATATGACAACTTTGGGGACTACTGCTCCGTTCCATGTTACATTAAGCGTGAATCTTTTTTGTCTGAAACGAATTGTAGGAATTATTTTCACGTTTTAAAGTCGTACGAAGTGCTGTGGGACAATAATTTTACTTTAAACACTATTTTGCTGCAACCTTGAGGAGATAATTTTTTATAAGCATTTCACTCCAAGAAAAACGGAAGTCACTAACGCATAAGGGGTTACAGAGGAATGAAAACAAGAGTCAAGAGGCGTAATAGAGGAAAGGATGAAGAGAACGTCATGGAATAGATCAAGGCATCTGGAGATGTCGACTGATATTGCATTTGAATATTTGGAGATTATAGCTATCAGGGAAGCAACTAAGAGGAAGGGAGTTCCAAAGACGGGAAGAGAGAGACATGAAACTACTGGAGTAGAAGTGACAAATACTTTTAACCGATTCCACAGTGAAAGTGTGGGACTGTGATGCCAAGCTAGGGGCACGTTTACGTTCATGTAATTTGGGAACTAGCGAAAGTATCTCGTCGGAGATGTTACCGTGAAAGTATTTGTAGAAAAGACAGAGGGAAGCGACGACACGCCTGTGAGAGAGTGACTGTAAACGAGATGCCAGATCAGGGTAACCACACTGAATATCCGTCTGTGGATATTGTCGAGGACCTTAAGACGAAGAGCGGGTCAAACTGCAATGGTACATCTCAATAAGCTAAATGTTGGACTGCAAGAATTGTGTTACTGTAGCCTTTCTGCTCACGTGATATTTTAGCTTCAATCAGATCTTATTCAAACTTATATTGTTAGAATTGAATTGGATTTGTTTAAATCTTTGACATTTCGCAGTTGCAGTCTTTATTGTAAATTAATAAACTAACGTTCATCCCTGGCAGCGCCAATTGTATTCCCTGTAGGAGAATAAATCTCCAACTGAAATGGCACCACTCTCCGGATTGCTGTTGAGAGATTTTTGTATAGACTATACTTATAGCTACGTATATATAAAGTCATTGTGGAGTTTGGTGTTTTTAATACCATATCCCTTTAGAACATAAGTGATCATGGGTTTCCATAGGTTACTTTTTTATTATCTCTGAACTAGTAAACATTGTGAAATGATTTTCTTTTGTCTCAACCGTTAGGACCTCATAGTTTTTATATTTTTACACACAAGTATATAAAATATATACACAATTACTCCTCACTCTCAGGAGGCTTACGGCTACATCAGGTGAATCACCGCTTCCCTTAAAATCACCGACGTTAAGCAACGTCGTACTTGGTCAGTACCTAGATGGGTGACCGCTCGGGAATAGCAGATGCTGTAAGCTTGGATTCATGTGTAGTATAATGACTCGGAATTGTTAATCAGAGAGCTGAGTTCCAATTTCGGGTTCGTTTTATTAATTTATGCGCAAATACCCTTTGGAAAAATATGAATCCACCTCTTCTATCCCCAACTATGGGTTAATTAGTAAAACTTATAGCACTAAAACCTTTACTACCTCAGGAAAGAAATGCGTACAAAATATTTAAATTTCGCTATTAAATAACCCATAGAGTTTGATATGACGCTAAAGAAAAATCAACCAACACAACTAATCAAAATATTTAGATTTCCACATTAAATAACTCATAGAGGTAAACAAAATCAACCAAACCAAACCAATCAAAATATTTGGATTTCGACATTAAATAACCCATAGATGTTGATATGCCGCTAAACAAAATCAACGAAACCAAACCAATCAAAATGTTTAGATTTCGACATTAAATAATCCATAGAGGATTATATGCCGCTAAACAAAATCAAACCAAACCAATCAAATTATTTAGATTTCAGAATTAAATAACCCATAGAGGTTGATATGCTGCTAAATAAATAAACCAGCCAAATCACTCTCCGTTAACCAGGTTAATAGTTACACACATTTAGTAAAATTAAGTTGGTCAAAATGAAACGAACATCCAGTGAGGCTAACACTTAGTACGTTAAAAAAGTTGGTAAAATAAATGATTGAGCTTTACACTACTTCGAAGCGTCCATTTTTTAAAACAATAAACACATTATTTGAAGAAGAAATATACCTTTCTTTACATAATGGCCTTTGCGTTTTATTCCAATATGAGACAACTACATCCCACTGACTATTGGGAGATTATGAATTCTTTAGTAGCCGAACTAGATTCGACTTAACTACTGACATCCATTTTTTTTATTTGTTTTTTTTTTTTAAAAAGACAATAGAAATGACAACCAAAAAAAAAATGAACCTCAAAGAGCAAACTGCTTTTTCCATTGGATCTTTCAGTTAAACAGACACGCTGTATTACTGTTGCCAACAAACCATTGCTTTGATTTATTCAGCATAAATAATTTTGACTAATTTACATCGAGAGAACATTCCAGACGAATTTGGGAAACAGAAAATGCCTGGAACGGACAACCCAGGATTAGACTATGACATGCGGACTCCTCATTAATGCCAATTTCGAATTTTATTCGGCGTGTGCTTGTTCCGGTTTTACTTATGCACTTCTTCACCCTTCTTCGACCGTTTGTTACTGGCGTCCTGTATAAAAGCAATAAAACTGGCCGCGTTCACAGTCGACTTGGATTGCGTGCGCTAGATTCGACTTGGGTTAAAGCCATGTAATAATAATTCCTTCACATTACTGATCTTTCCGCTCCAACAAACGAACTTCTCGTTTTGATGTTTGTCTTAAGTGATCTGTTGGTGACTAGCCACGAACAATGCTAGGCCCAAACAGTGGCAACACCCACCGCCCTCGCTCATAAATTACAAATGCTCGTTCTTCGGCGTACGCACAAATACGCGTGTATATACGCTGACACAAAGAACTGGATGGCATTAGCTGTACGTAGATACAGACGTCTTTAATATTCGGCTAGATTGCGTTAGAGAAACGAGGGCAGACATCAATAGAAAAAGTAAACGAAATAAACTGATTTAAAGATGCTTAGATATGGATTTTTACTATCAAGTATGGATATTACAGACGGAAGAGTTTACCCACAAGCAAACGTGTATTTCCAGGGAAAAGAGTAAAGTCGTTCTGATGCTGAATAACATACTTATTGAAAGCCATTTTATTCGCAGATCTAAAATAAAATTATTGTAAGGTGTACACGGAAATGAAGATTTTAGAGCGTTAACATCTAAAGGGCAAAGTGTTTTGGAAACCAGCGTTTGATATTCTCAGGTCCATTTCGTTAGATTTTAAAGTGTCATCATATATTGAGGTGCCCAGATAAATTCCTTCAATGTTTCACGTCCTCCATGAACGGCGGATCTCTCTGTTATTCCCCCTCTCTCTCTCTCTACATTCATCTCTCTTTCTCTATTCTTCTCCCGCTCTTCTCTTCTCTCTCTACGCTTCTCTCTTTCTTTCGCTACTCTCTTCTCTACTCTTCTCTCTCACCCTCCTTCTTTTCTCTCTCCACTCTTCTTTCTCTCGCTGCTCTCCTATCTCTCTACACAACTCACTCTCTCTCTCGATATATATATATATATATATATATATATATATATATATATACTAGTTTCAATACAAAAGTGCTGGAAATAATATATTAATATTTTTGGACATGAACTTTTATTTTTTTCTGTTTCTAGCAGAATAACGCAAAAACCCACAATAAATAACCGACCTTGTGTCACATGTTGCCCCAGTGGGCGGGGGGGGGACTGAATATTGTCAGTCGTTCACTTTTGAACCGACTGCTCGGTTGAACTCTCTTCCTACGGACGGGAGGAACCCGAAGGAGGCTACGCCGAAGGAGGCTGCGCCGAAGGAGGCTACGCCGAAGGGCGGAGTCTCCTTCGGGGAGGTAAAACCGGCCCTGAACCCGTTTATACGGGTTCAATGGGCATATTTTTGGCCGAGCCCACGGGCTCGGAAATGCCCACGTTAAAAAGGCCTTGTGCCACATGACACCCTCGTGGAGGGGTGACTGAAAATCGTCAGTCGTTCACTTCTGAACCGACTGTTCGGTTGAACTCTCTGCCTTCGGGCGGAGAGGAACCCGAACGAGGCAACGCCGTGTGGCGGAGTCTCGTTCGGGGAGGTAAACCGTCCCTGAGCCCGTTTATACGGGTTCAATGGGCATATATTTGGGCCGAGCTCACGGGCTCGGAGAACCTAAAATAAATAACCTACCTTGTGTCACATGATTCCTCAGTGAGGTGGAGGGGTGACTTAATATCGAGTCAGTGGCTCGCTTTCTGGACCGAATGTCGAGAAACACGAACGTGGCTACACCGAAAGGCGGAGTCTCGTTCGTGGATGTAAACCGACTCTGAACCCGTTTATACGGGTTCAATGGGCATATTTTTGGGCCGAGCCACGGGCTCGGATATCCCACATTAAATAACGGGCTTTGTGCCACATGCTGCCCCAGTGGGGTTGGTGACTGAATATAGTCAGTACTTCTAGTCGAGTCAAGAATCGAGTCAGAGGCAGTCCGAATCAGAGTCGCGTTCAGACAATTACTGCAATACATTGGAATAGTGATACTGGTCGAGACTACATTGTTCTCTAAACAAAACCTGATTGTTCATACTAACACTTCTACTTCCCTGTATATATTCCTGTTTGTAATATATCTGTGTTATTCCATGCCTGTATTCGAGTTCTTCTTTATTTGGTTCTACCTTGGACTATCCCCGTAGTACAAGGAATCGGACCATATCAGTATATATATATATATATATATATATATATATATATATATATATATATATATATATATATACGTTATTTTTATTGATACAAATATTTAAGTAAATGTTTTGCTTATAATAAACAGCATTATCTTACGGAATTTCCCTAGGCTTTTATAAAACTATTGGACCTTATTTTGAGCAATAAGAATTTATTTAACTCTAATTTGAAATGATCACCTCTCTTAGTGCTGTGGCTCCCTGAAGCTGTCTTTTCTTTCTACTGTTCCCTCATTTTTAACTTATTCACCATTCCCTTGGTGGTTCTTGAATGATCATTGAAGATGCAAATCAGAATATGAATGTCGGTGCCATTACTGAAGTCCCGAATGATTTTTTTTCCTCTCACCTTTCCTCAGTTGGAAAGACATTGTGGGACTGATACAAAATGATTTCAATCTTTTCTGTTTCTAGCAGAATAACGCAAAATTTTTCTTTTTCCTGTGACTCTAACAACAAATGGTGACAAGATAGCTAAACGTCTTATCTGGAAAAACCTGGAAAATTTGTTTTTTTTACATACGAAACATTTTTGTGGAATTGACAATTATCCCATGCAGTTACACGATCTGGACAATTTTCCTGTTACACTTGATATATGATATATATATATATATATATATATATATATATATATATATATATATATATATATATATATATATATATATATATACACAGAAGAACAGAAGAGCTGGGAGAATATATTAATGATTTTGGACATGGACTTGGAATTAAAACCAAAGAATCACTATGGATATTAACGGCTTTTTTTGAAAGTTATTATTATTTATATCTCTCATGACGAGAAGCACCAGCTTGGTGAAGGAACTATTAATGGTTTATGATTTAAGCATACACACACACACACATACACACACACACACACACACACACACACGCACGCATATGTATTTCTTTTGTTTTTGTATCTGATGTGACCGAGAATGGTGAAAAGTGTAATGAAATCTAGTTTCAATGAAACGATTTTCTGTTTGTCAAATTTCTTTCATATATATCAGGTCATCCCATAAGATCTGTCCGAATTTTGAATAAAGAAAACAAGTGACCAAATGTTACATTTAATTACAGATTCAATCAACAATGTATTATCCCTGATTATCTATGACTTCCTTTCATCTATTAACAAGCTTACTAATTCCATTACTGTAAAATTCTTTTGGATTTGATTCGAAGAACTCACAAATATCAGTTTTAACCTCTTCCTGTGTTACAAAGGCTGTTTCTTCCAAAAGATTCTGTAAGCTACGAAACAAATGGTAGTCTGAAGGAGCAGGTTCGGGAGAATAAGGTGGATGAGGAATTTTCTCCCAACCAAGTTCTTCGATCTTTTGTGACGTGATTCTTGCTGTGTGGGTTCGCGTACTGTCCTGATCACCTCTTTTCGATTCACTAGAGCAGGTTTTTTTCCCTCAAAACTTGATTCAAACGCTCTAATTGCTGACAGTATATTTGAGCATTAATTGTTGCATTAGGTGGTAAGAATTCAAAGTGGATTATTCCATGGCGATCCCATCAGATTGAAAGAACGCTTCTCGGCTGTGGCTGGGGTCCTTCCCCTTT